AACTTTTGCCTCAAGGCTGCATTGAAATTATTTATCAAATTAAAAAATATATATATATATATTCTGATGAGTCGGTGAAATTCCGACGAAACAGTTTGTCACAGCCCCTCGTTTGTTGTCCTCTTCTCCCTCTCTGCCTACGGTTTACCGGGCAGTTCTATTTGACGATATATATATATTCCTTGGCTACGGTCCGGACGTTCGGACCGCCGTCCAGACGGTCTGGATTTAGTTCAGACTCCAGACGTCCGGTCTGGAAGGTCGGGATCTGCCAAATTTCAAGAAAAAAAAAAAAAAAAACGGTCCAGGACCCTTCCCCATTGAGGAGCCCAGCCCCCAAAATTGTTTTGGGGGTTTTTCAGGCCCGTTTATGCTTTTTTGAGGCATCCAGACATGCTCTCTCTAGACAACCCCAATTATTTAATTGGGTTTTTCAGGCCCGTTTATTAGACAACCCCAATTATTTAATTATTAATAATTCATTACCTTTTATTAGTTTTTAAAGTTTTTTTTTAAATAAAAGTTTGGTTTGGAATTCTGATATGACTCCGAGGCAAAAGTGGTTTGCATTGTTATTCCGCATAACATACTTTTTTTTCAGATTTTTTTATTTTTTATTTGTTTTTAATGGTCCGGACATTTTCGGACCATCCGGATCCCCCCATGTCCGGAGGCCCGGAAATATCCGGAATTTCGGACGTCCGAAAACTACCAGACACGGGTCCGGTTCCATGTCCAGAAATGTTCGGGTCCGGGTCCGGCGTAGCCATGATATTTTCTTTAGTTTTATTTATTTTTATTTTTTTGGACCGGTCGGGCAAGTGACCCCGGGCCACTCTGGTAGCCTAGTTCTATAGTGAATTTACATTCTAAATTTCAAATTTTCATTCCATCTTAAAAAATGTCATTCCACTTTTAAAATTTTCAATCTTACTCTAGGCTACCTGATTGGCCCGAGGGCACTTCCCCGGCCGGGCCAAAACAAAAAAATATAAAAATATTTTTTATTATTTTTTATTTAAAAATTGGTGAAGAATTTCGATATGACCTTGAGGCAAAAGTTGTTCAGCTTATTTTTCTGCATAACATAATTTTTTTGTTTTTGGATTTTTTGGATTTTTGTTTTTGTTTTTTGTTTTTTTGTTGGGACCTTCCTTGGTCCTTGCACGGGCTGGCCACCTGGGACCCGGGTGGCCCGGCTGGTAGCCTAGGTCTTACTTTTTTCTATATAAGGATTTTCAATTATAAATAGGTTATTAATCCAATTTAAATTAGAAGTAATTTGTTGTAGTGGAATGAAAGTTTAATTAAGGCATTTCATAAACTCGTTCAGACTTCCATTCCATTTTCAACAAACAGATATAGCTGGAAGGGAAAGCTCATCTTAGACGGAAACTTATCAAATAAAACTGGAGATTTTAGAATTGGATGGACATTGGAATGATGATTTTTAAATATGAAGGATTTTTTTTTAATAAAATGTTTGTTGAACTTTCATTTCTTATGGGAATTTTTTATGTTGAAAGAAGTTGGCGAAGTCCACCTATTAACGAGAACTCTACACCCTCTACAAAACACTTGTCCATTGAAGATACTATTTATTGGGAAGGTTCTTCTATTTGAGGATTGATCATCAGGCACTCAAGTGGATCAAGACGCAACCTGTTCTCTCTGATGCACTCTGAGGAGTTTGTGATGGTGGATGGGTTACTCTTGCTTGAGAAGGCAAGGTTTAAGAGATTAGTAGTTTCATCTAGTGAGATTTTGCGTAGTTTATTTTTAGGAAAACGATGTAATGGGACATTTTGGCTATAAGAAGAGTAGTGCAAATCTAGTACAGCTATTCCAGTGGCCTGGTATGCTAAACGAAGCCAAATAGTACATTCAGACTTGTCAAGTCTGTCAGCAGGATAAGCCGCAAACTCAAGTTCCTCTTGGGTTGCTTAAGCCATTGCCCATTCCTGCTGGTCCGGGACAGAGTATCTCGGAGTCCATGGATTTCATGGATACCCTTTCCACTCTTGTGGACTCTTTTTCTTTCTCCCGTCTGTAGAGGGTTGTTGGGCTCCTCCTAGCCTAGCCTCTAAGTCTAGGGCCTTCTTGCTGAAGGAGTCCAGAGTGTGATATTCGATGCTGGCCTCACTGACCAACAGGTTCTTGAAGTTTGTGGGAAGACATCTCAAATACATGGTCATAAGGACCTGTGGATCATAGCACACGCCGGGGAGGACAATGAGACACTCCACGGCAGAGCTAAACTCACAAGCGGACTTGTACTTCTTAATATCAAGCCGGGTCAACGCGCCAGTGGCCTGATGGGTCTGCTGCGGGTTGTGTCATAGCATTTCTACCAATTCCATAAAGCTCTTTAACTTATGGGTCTTAGCCCAATCATTCATATGCCCGTCGAACCCTTTCGAGGCTACTAGTCCATATAGCCATCACACTGCTTAACCCTCAAGGTACGAGGCGACAATGATCACCTCTTCCTCTAATAGCGTCCTCTTTTCCCTGACCCACACCGGAACCGCTCGAGAAGGTTGAGGGTTGTTTCAACAGAGTCTTGGGGTAGCAAGGTTGTTGTTGTCCCTGTGGTGGAACCGATTGTTCTGTAGAATTAGCCACTGGACCAGAAGATGAAGAAGCAACAGTCTGTGATGTTGCTGTTGACATACCGCTCGGCGAACTGCTAAACTAAGACATTGTGGGACTTGTCATCACCGGTGAGGAAACCGGCGATGGGAAAACTGGAGACCGGAAACTGGGTCCGCTTGTTGGAGATGGGAAAGCGCTTCCCAACCCCTGCATGGTGCTCAATATCTGGTCAAGGGTGTCCTGGATAGCATCCAGTTTACTGTCCTGCGGGTTGTGATCTGCTTGCTGTTAGAGAAGGAACTTAGGGAAGCTATTGAAAGAGAAGCATGGATGGACAGTAAACTGGATGCTATCCATGCTTCTCTTTCAATAGCTTCCCTAAGTTCCTTCTCTAACAGCAAGCAGATCAACTCCACTTGCTGGAGTTCGATGGCCTTCTCTCGTGCGTGGAGGTGGTGAGCTCTACTGTGAGCCCGCCATCTGACTGGAAGAACTGCTTGACGCCACTGTGCTGGATGTGGCTTGCGAACTGTTCGGCATGCCCATGCTCATCTGACTGGATGTAGCAGCATAGGTGGCCATAGCTGCTGCAGTGGCTGCAGTGGCTGCAGTGGCTGTTGCCGCTGCAAGCACTTGCTCGGCTGCTGCTGCCGCTTCTCTAGCCCTCCGCAAACGTTCAGCTACTGCTTCCTGTCGCAAAGCCCTCTCTCCCTCAGGGGTTAAAGCTTGGTGCGCGATAGGAATTCTAGTGGACTCTTGACGTGTCACCCTCCTTCCTACAGATTTATCCTCATCACTGCCTGATCCACTCATCAGCTAGGCAGACACTGTTTGCACTAGTGCCCTCATTGGAGCCTACCGCAGCATGTGTCTAACCAGGTTGTAAAATAATTAAAAAAATAATAATATGTGGCGTCTTCTGGCTCTGCCTAAGAATGTATAAAGGTCTTTTGTAGTTACGTGTGTTAGCTTCGTACGTAAGCTTCTCCTTACTGTGTGGATCTCTAAGTGAACACCGAACTCTCGTTACACTCTTTCGCTTGCAGGATGCATGTGTGAATGATCATTCTCTTGGGAACAGATGAACATTGAGCTCTCTCATTTTTATGATCGCACTGTTTTGACTCATCTGAGCAAGCTTTTCGAGCATCGCATGCGAATGAACCTCTTTTCATTTGCCTTATGTGAATAACCTACTCTCTCTTGCCAATCGAGTGCATTGGGAGTTTGGTTTTGATGATAGAAAACCTTTCACCTGATCAGATCAATAGCCCTTGACATAGGATGATGTCTTTTTATTCACTACAGTTTTGTATAGATAGGTGTGGCAGGTATGCCCCGTACTCTCGCTTTGATTCAGGTCCCGACACTGACTTTCCATATAACAAGGAAAGCCAACGTGTCTGTGAGTGGGACGTGCACGAGGCTTTCCCCCATTTTTATTCTTGCTGCCTTTTAACAAGCTCATGGCCATCCCATGGTCTGCGGTTAAATCTTACTGGCCTCGCAAATTGTATGCCAATTGTTGACGAAGTGAGAACCTGAGAGCGAGAGGGTTCGGCCACATGCCACGTTGAGAACTGGAACTAACGGAGAGTGCAGCACAATTATGCCCGTCCAACTCCGATTCCAAACTCTGTGAGACAAGTTGCCAAGCCCTTGCCCTGAACAGAGCTCCCACCTACACGCCAGCTACTTTCCTTCCTGGAAAAAGACGCCGCAGAGGCCGACATAGCTGTTACGATTTTTGAATTGCCACGTTTTTTTCATTTTGCCGCACAGTATGAGTCTACAGGTGGAAGCTCCATCTTCTTAGTCCCTGCCCTTGTCATATTTTCCGGGAAATCGACACCTCAGTTTCCAGTTCCGAACTGAAACTCCACTGAGCCCCCTTCTTCCAAATGTCCTTGGCACACACCCATTTTCGCACTTTCCGGGCCCTTCCGCATCATAGTCCCACTCTGGAAGGAAAGCAGCGGTCGTGAGGTTAGTCCATCACATATACACACACATACGCACATGGACGGACGTGCACACACACATTCTTTTGCTGTGTGTGTGTGTGTGTGTGTGTGTGTGTGTGTGTGTGTGTGTGTGTGTGCACGCCAAAGATGGATCAGCATTCGGCAAGGTTAGATGACCCATTCATCACTTAATACGCCGCTTATGATTTATATGGTTTTTGCCTTAAAGGTTTGCCGTTGTTGTTCATTTGCAATGGGCTTGTATGAGGTTTTCCATATCTATCTGTTCTGTCTGTGGACTGTTATATCTGCTGAACAGAGTTCAAATTATGGTTTTTGTTGTTGTTGTTGTTGTTTGTTTGCTTTGATGACCATGATTGATTATCGTTGTCAGTGTGCATTCACTAATCGTACATTGTAACCAATGACATATCATGGCAGATCTATGTGCAGCGGGGCCTGAAGTATGACCTGGCAAAAGAAGTGGCAGAAGAATTGACGAAACACGATTACCTGCGAGCGCATGCACGAGATGAACTTGGTATTGATTTGGATGATCTTGCCAATCCGTTCCAAGCGGCATTTGCTTCTGTTGTAGCATTTGTGCTTGCCGGTCTTATACCATTGATAAGTTGTGCTTTCGTCCAGGATCACAACACCCGCCTTGGCGTCGTCATCGCTGTTGCGACTATTTCTCTGTTTGTTTCTGGAGCAATTGGTGCTCGGCTCGGCGGTGCCTCGATTTGGAGACCAGCAATTCGAGTCACCGTCGGGGGATGGGCAGCCATGCTTGTTACGTTTGGGATTCTAAGGGCTTTTGGCACTGCTGGCCTCTGATAACATTTGAGGTAACGGGTACTACTTGATGGGTGGTGTGGAGAGGGTAGAGAGGGAGGAGCCACAGTTTTTTTGGAATTGCAACAGAAAATGTGACGTGGATGCAGTGCACTGCATGCAATTGAAGAAATTGTGGGTTGAGCCTTTGAGGCCCAAGTATGTTATCCTAGGTGGATACTCCCAGTTTCACACTGGGACTTGCTTTGGACTGAATCTGGCCTCAGTCAAGAGAAGATTCATTCAAGAAAGCTGTCTTGCGAGTGAGTATGCCCTTCGGTTGTCCTTTGGTGCGCCCCTTGATGCTGCAGCAATTGCAGTGTGCTGCAATAATTTGTTCTCGCAGTTAATGATTGCAAGCTGCACAGCAGCTCTGTAGGAAATGCAGGTTACTGCACAGTACAGTAACTAGCTTTCGTGAATATATATTTATGACTGAGATGTATCTCCACTGTGAATTTGGAGCTTGCATGAGCTCAGGGCGCTTTCCTTGGCCGTGTGGCTAAAAATAGATGAAGTGTACTATATATGTGATCCTCGGTCCATCGTACCGACAATAAAAGCAAAAAAAAATGAAGAAACAATTACTACAAAATTAGAAATGTGATTCCACTCAAAAGTCACTTTAGTAATTTTCATTTGTTATCGATTTTGGACGATTAAGTCAATTTGCTTCGCAACAGAATCATGTCAGAATGTGATCCATGCTCATCCAACAGAATACGATGTCAAAGCACTTAAGCGAGTGGGTGCTGTGTGCATCTGCACTGAAAGAAATGGAGGTGAAAAAGACAGAGCAGACATGGGCTTAGACTGGAAACTTTTTGTGTGCCCCTGGTATGTTTCTGTTTAGTCTGAACCTTGCTGTATTTCGATGGAGGTCTCCAACAAGGCCTGAAGAAAATCGACCAAGGAAGTGAAGGGGGGCGCAAGTGAGGAGGAAGAGAGATGGGGACAATACCTATAGAAGCAGGGAGAGAGTGTTTGAGCACACACGTGAGAAAGTGTGTGCGAGCACACGCATGTGTGCATGTGAGAGCGTGCAAGTGCAAGTGCAAGTGTGTGTGTGTGTGTGCATGTGTGTGTGTATGTGTGTGTGTGTGTGTGTGTG